TTAAAATACAAGTAGATCTATAAACATATAAAAATCTTAAAAATGGACGGTGTAGATAATATGTTGTAAAATGCACTATTTTTTAGACTTAAAATATTTTTATTTTTCATGTTCATACATCTTGATGTCGAGATGATCAATCAAAGGGTTTTTCAACATTAAAACTATATTTTCTGATAGATTTTTTATGTGCATCTGTAGTTCTACACTATAAGGCTGCATCATTATATAAACTTTTTCTTAGAAGTATATGATACCCCTTTCCTTTTCTATTGGCCACCCATCTTCATTCCCTTTCAATTTTTTCAAGAGTACTTGACGCCTAGCATGAAGGAGTTTAGTTATTTTTTTCCCTTACAAGGGAATGATCATGTGTAATTATAGACAATCGATTTGGGATGATTTTAGATCCCAACCATTAGATTAAGGAAAATTTAATAGACTTATCTACTTTTGATATTTCAAAATTTACTGACTGAAAAGAGCAAACGGTAGGTCCAAAATAACGTGGTTGGAAGTAGTCCGAAAAGACATGGGGGATTTATGGCTTCACTGAGAATATAGCCTTTAATAGAACATAATGGAGAACCAGGATTCATATAACCAACCCCAATTAATTAAAAAAAAATTAAAATGATGAAAATGATGATATTTCAAATTTTACTTTTTTTATCTTTCACCATTTATCGGGCTTTTACTTTTTATTACTTTCAAAATTACCTCCTCCTTATTGGATGCACAAAAGCCCATTCCCTCACTTTTAACCTAAAATCGAAATTTCCTCTTCCAAGTTCCAACCCGAAACCAAGTTTTACCAGCCCTGGTTGATTCATGAAGGTGAATGACGGTGATGGTTCACCGTGTTGCAATGAATGAGCCCCTCTTTCTACATATAAGATGAATCTCCCATCTTGGCCCGCCCTACATTGAATCCAGCTCGGATACCACGCAGTTATCAATCAAAACGCCATGTTGTTCGATACATTCTCCTTCCAAGATGACCCTCACCGGTGATATATTCGTTCCTTCGTCCATGCACTCAGA